AAGGCCATGTGCTTTTTCCGCTTAAAGTGAAACTGACAAAGAGGACACGCTGTACTTTTGATATTAAGAAGGAAATCGCGGATTTTTCCTCTACGGTCGTCGCTTCATGTTTAGGGATTCCGAGATACCAACAGTCATCCAAAGACTTTAAGTTTGGCAACGTGGCTGTTGTACGAAGGTGACTCGTATATTCTAAACTCGGGGTTGTTTGTATAAAGATAAAGGAAGGACATTTTAGAAAAGTCCATAGTAGCGAGTAGGTCGAAGATTTATGTTTGAACGTCATTGCAATATATCGTAAATGGAAAATAAATTTTCGACGCTGGCGTTTTGGTGGCTTATTTGAAACATCGTGTTGCTCGGCTGCTTCGACAAACGTAGTCTTGATATGTTGAACTAAGGCCGGGATCCTTATCAATCATCGGTTTGTTCAGAGAATTATTTATCATTTCGTTAAATTTCAGAAAATTTGACCAAATTTCAAGGTAAGAAGCAAATTGATCCAAGTCCATCAGTTCTTTAATCTCCTCAGCCAAATTATTTATGTGTTCATGCACCTCACGGATTTTTTGCGGCGAGTTAGTTCATTTTATACTCAGTGGTCTAACTACAAAGTCCCATTATGTAGTTTTCTTTCACTTTTTTTTAAATATACATCAGTAAGCCTGGGATGTGTGTTATTGATTCTACGACGGAATACTATTTAAAACTAACTCAGAAGTAGTATATGCACCCAGAAAACTTTAGTCCTGATCGAGCACTGCTAAACTGTGTATAATTGTTTGTATATTGTTTAACAAACAATTGACCACGTGTCCAAAAATATTTCTTGTCAGAAAAACAAGCACTCGATGGATCCAAATATATTATCAAACAGATATGCTAATGAAGTCCGATCTGAAATAGAAATGGCATCGATCAGAGGAAATTTCTTCAAAATCCAGACACATTCCCGAAAGCTATTGACTTAAATCTCGGGAAAAGTGTTTATGAATTTCAGTATTTGGACAGCGGGATTCAAATGCTTGTCCTAGCTGCAATTTATTTTAATTCTAAAACTCTAACGGAGCCGTTAAGGAGAAATTGATTCAGTACGTTAAGGTTTCTCTACAGCTTGATGAACGAAATCTGTTTTTCAGTTGTTTTGTTTGTTTGTTTGTTTTATTTGGCTCACTCGTTACTTTCAGCCGGGAGTAAAAACAGTTTAACTCTTAATTCCTAGTTCCAAGTATTCGTCAATGTGGATATGTATTTGAGCAAATGCATAGCACTGAATGATCATGAATAAATAAATAAATGAATATAATAAATAGATATATGTTACGTAATTTCGCGGATGAGAGGACAACGTGACCTCTATAGTAAATCACTATGATATCAACACTATTTCAATAAAAACTCGGACGAAAACTAACAGGGCGCCTATGACAGCAGCTCAAAATGGGTCCATTTCTGATGAGCTTACTGTAACCAAGCCAGCCAGATAAACTTTATGAGTGAGGTTCTTAGCAATCTCTGCCGAAAATATTTGTGAAACAGTTCTGGGACTAATATCTCTGACAACCTTAGATTAGGTACGAGGAGCACTTAAGTTGCCTAAATTACGATCAGTTGAATCAGCTTGACTTTCAGCACAAAGTTATCGATTACTTTTCATTGAACAGCGCATGTTCTCCTTTTATTTTGTCAGGTAAACGCCTGCAGCGTTGATCGCATCTTCGGCGCTTAATTTACGTTTTCTTATTGTTTTGAGGAAATATTTACAGAGAATATTATGGTCGTGGTTTTGCGTTTTTGAAAATAAGCAACTGCTTACTTTTCATTTCAAAGAGGCTATTCGAAAGTTGCAACAAAATATGACTATTTTGAACAACCAGGTATTTTTTAGTTTCGGGAGTAACCTGCAACTTCGTTGCCGAGATATTCATTTTGAATTCCCAATTTTTTTTTTATTTGCAAATTTTACCACTGATTAAAATAATTTTCTGGGACTTACAGTTATTTGTTATTGCTTTAGCTGCTTTAGTATCGCATCGTTCAGTTTTCTAATACAAAGGATGTCAGTAACTGAATGTGTTCAAATGCATGAGGTTTCCACTCAAGGAACATTTAGAAATAGCGATAAATAAAACTGGAGTCAATAAATATTAATAATAATATCTACAAAAGAAGAAAAATAGTAGAGAAAAATGTCTTACCGTAACATCGCTACCGATGATAGCGTCGGACAGTCCATGGTCGCATGGAAGCCACTAGGTATGGCGACCTTTCTGAAGAAAACCTCATTTAACCTACGCGACTGAGAGAGAGAAAATTTTCGATGACCAATTATGCGTGCGGTAATTTCTTTGACTAAATAATCTTTTTTTTTCAAAAGAATTTTTCATGAGAACACGCACTTTTTTCTGCTGTGAAGTGAAGTCATACAGTGAAAAACAAGCCTTTTCTCCTGATGAGTTGGTTTAAAGGCGACTTGACAAGATTTTAAGAGGCACTCAGCTGTGACAACCGCGAGGTTGTAAGACAAGAGCACTATGGTTCATACCCACTTGATACCGTGACTTTTTTTCCCCATGCATTTTAGATATCAACCTCTTAGGCATTAATTTCATAGTCAACAGAATTTGCATTTTTAGTGGTTTATTATGTCAGGTGAGGACTTTTGCGTAGGCGAGAAAATCGGCGGAAAATACTGGACTATATTCACGCATTACTACCGGTTGACGTCGCTTGCTTACTCACGATGGGAAATAAGAAAACAGTAATGATGTGCGTTTTTGTTTCTTCATATTTTCGTTTAAGTGGAATCATGCTGCTTAACGGAGCACTTTTTCTTTTCACGTTGCAAAACATGGAAAATTGTATGAATGCATTCCCGGCGAGTTTTTTGAATTAATTTTTTCCAAATCATTTTAGCCAACCGGTTAAGGTCTACTTTCAAGTAAACTTCGTGTCACAAAGAAGCCAGTAAAGGAAAATAAATTAGATTGGACCATTCACTTATGAATTGGTGGCGGCTTACCAAAGGGAAAAGAGGAATTATTAATTACTGTTCACGTAACCGAAACACGAAAAAATTGAACTATAATTGTATTTATTCGGAAGAAGTGGGTAAACACGCTGCAGCATCCTTTTGCATTTTGACAGTCTTTTCGAATCGGCGCAGCCTATATAATCCTGATCCATGCAAAGATTAATCTCATTTTTCTAGTGCATTCGCGCGTAATAATCTGAATTAACTGTTAAAATGTACTTATCTGATCTGGAGTTGATCAATATGCCAATTAAACTAACTTGCGGGATTTCAAAAGCACCGCTTAATGATTTTGTTCTCCGAGAGATTCCCTGCATGGATGTGCCTTTTTTCATTTACTGTTGCGTTTTGTTTGTTGTAACCGTATAGGTTACATTCTAGCAAATATGGCCGGAACACTGAGAAATGAAGCCTGGCAAATCGGAAAAAATAAAATCGTTTTTCCACTTAGCAATCACAGAATAATTAAACAGCACTAGCAATTTCAATGACACCTCACGATCTTTTTTTAAAATAATATTGCATCTAACTATGATTCAGGGGATTTGCATGTCAAACAGCAACGGCAGAGAATGTACCAAATTAATTGACAATTGAATTAAACTCTCTCCGGCTTTGAACAACGTAGCCCGGGTTAAAACAAGTATCCACTGAGCAGAACATATTTTTTCGTCTAATATAATCAAATTATAATGTAAGCAAGTTAGAAGGCTGATTTAGAATTTAGCAAGGTACTTTCAAAATGTTTTGCTTCCATTTTCGGCGGTACTCGCGACGTCTAAATGAGAACGTTTGCGTTTTCGAAGCTTTCCCATGATCCGTTCCATGAGCCTTTGCCCCGGTCATACTGCAAAAAAAAAAAACAGAAATCCTCTGGCTAGCCTGTCTTGTGGTGGTTCCTGGCTGAAAAAGCTGAATCTTCGTAAGTGCAGTTGTTAACTGGCCCTTTACCTGACCTTCACGAGGTTTTGCGACAAGGCGACGTAAGGCAACTGGAAGTCTCTTATCTTTACTCTGCTTATTTAATTAACTATATAGAAGCATGGGCTCCTGATAGAGACGATTTGCCCAAAAAAATTGGACGAAACCACTGTTAAAAAAAAGTCCAGTTCCGGTTGACGTGCTTCGCTATAAAACGTCTTCGGTCAACCGAAAGTGAGGTGTTTTACCCTTTGATATATCTTGACGCTGCCAAATTCTTAGTTGTTAGTGTCTATGCGGTTATAGAGACGACTTGTCCAAAAATTAAGGCAAAAACACTGCCAAATTTTGCAAAAAGTCTACTTCCGGTTGACGTGCGTGGCCTAAAACGTCTTTGCTTAAAGTCCCTAATAATGATGACAGCGATAAGGATGACGACTACGACGATAATAATGGTGATGACGACGACGACGACGACGATAGATGATGATGATGATGATGATGATGATGATGATGGTGATTATACCGCTTACCAGCTCCGGGCTTTGCAGCCTCATCCCCAACTGGCACAGGGTCTGGAAGAGATATTTAATCATTCTTGCAACGAGGCTAGCATAACTTTAGAATCAACGTGAAAGCATCAAAATACTTAACTTTACAAAAGTAGAAATTTCTTTCTGTAGTTTTCTCCATGGGTAGCGAACCTCTTACCCTCCCCCCGTAGGGAGGGTTTATCTCGCTATATCCTGGGAACGAACAACAAGCGGCGGTTGATGGGGTTTCATGTATATGCAAAATTACTGTTGTTTGGATGTCACTTTAATTCGGGAAGAATGGTGTCTTGAAAATCCTAGTACTTGATTATGGAGGCTGTAAAGCAGTAGTGTTATTAATTCTTTGCCAGAAAAATTATGATGAAAGCAAGAGATCGCTTCAGTCGCTCCGACAGAAATTTTCGCGTCACGCTCGTTCGTCATGGCTGTCATTGCAAGATTTGTCGTTGTGGGTATGAAATTATCTGTCATGGAGCCCTGATCTACCATTCATGATGGGAATTGTTTGCTCTGGACCTTCAAAGAACTTCATTATTCCAACAATGAAGGATGAAAGCGATGCATTTAGAGGTACAATTAATTTTATCCGATAATTTGGTTGCGTTCTGAAGCGTGAAAATGAGGTCTGCTTTCAATTGACGAAGATGATTGAAACCTCATTCTCTATTTGAATTTATCCAGTGGGGATTATTTCGATGTTTTGCTTTTGGAAAGGTCTTTTTTTTTCATTGTATGTCGCTAGATCTCAACGTTTGTTTTCTTTTTGTTTTTATAAACTCGCAGAAGTGGTCGTCGTCCGTATTTCGGACGAAGGCTTCTCGCCTCGCAATCTCACTCTTTACGAAGGCCAGGTAAGCAAAATCGGCGTGAAATTGAGGTAGATTTGTAATTGTAGTTTTTTGAAAGCGAGAAGAGGGGACTGTAAGTGTAGTATTAATGTCGAAAAAAGTTGTCTGCTCGCCTTAGCAAGAACACTCTATTTTTCGTGATAGCTTTGCGGAAAAGTGCAGACTTCCTCATGAAGTTTATTTAGTAATTGGTTGCCAAGAAGCCAATCAGCTGCGAAATGATTAAATTTAATGGTATATCATTCGTAATAGTGGAATTGCTTGCAAATGTTACAGCCCTAACAAGTAGTCTGTAACACTTTTTCAAGAAATCCCGGCTTCTGATCGGCTAGTGCATATTTTGCGGCAATTTTCTGAAAGTTTCGAAAGCATTTCTAGATCATACTGATGGATTTTTTACCATTTACACAGAGAAACACACCAGTTCACAGTTTGGTAAATGCAAGTGAGCAAAATCCAGGACTTGTAAATTCAATCCTGGGTCGCAAATTTCTATTTGAAACATTCCAACCGGGAAATCAGGGCTACCTTTCCAGATGTCATGCTCTAACTGTTTACCATAATAATTTTCTCAAAATATAGCAGAAATGAAATTTGTCTGGAAGTTGTATGGAACAAAAGTTTTTGGGTTGTTGGTACAAAATTTTCATTTACCGTATTATTCAATTAAACGCCACGGTGTTCATTAAATTTGTAGCCTTTCCAATGAGGCGTTTATTCAAGTCAGCATTTTATTTGAGTTCGACATTTATTTTGAATTCACTTTTTTTTAAATCACTGACCACACTTGTTGTATATCGTCTCTAAATATTACATAATTTTAAGGTTCCAATGTTTCCCTTATTTTGCTGAGATCGAATAGTAAAAATAATGTTTGAATTACCAAGTTGTAGCGAAGTTTTTTGTATTATCCTCTAGTAAACGCCGCATTCTTTTGATTAGGTGCGGCATTTATTTGAGGGGGGCTTTTAATTGAATAAATACGGTACTTCCAGCTACATTTAGGATTTCTGGACACCTTTTGTAAATGGTAAACAGTCAGAGGCACCCAACGAGAATATAGTTCAAAACCACTTAAACATAGCATTGTTGAATGTATTTTAGTATTTAAACTGTAGATATAGGCATATTTTTATCCCCTAAGAATTTTTCATCCATTCAGATTTCCTAGCTGAAAGTCTAGTGATCTGAAAATTATAGGGATCAAAACTTACATTTTCAAAAATTTCAGCCAGAAAAAAGGGCTTCCAAAAATTCTATGTGACCATTTTAGGGTAAAAATCCGTTAAAAATGGGCAATTATACCAGTTTTTAGATGTTCAAAAATCCTAGGAGAGGCAGGCAAGCAAGAAATTTTACAACAAACGTTCCGAAAAGTCTTCTGAACAGATATTTTCTGAAAATTGTCGTTGGGTCAGCCCCTGAAACATTCGCAAATTCTTATTTCTCAGAGTTTCTATTTGCCATTTTGTTCCGAGGTCTTGAATTTTCAAATAAGCTGTTGCATCTCTTCAAGTCTTGTTTTCCCTACTTGTGTTCTTGGCACACAGTTGAAATGAAACCTTCATCAGAGATATAATCTAACCTTTATCAAGGATTTTGGCACTGTTTCACAGATGTAGTTTACAGTTCTGTCTATGGGGCACTGCTATTGATATGACACTTTTGGCATAGGAAATAATAATGATATATATATTGGTACTTCAGATATCAAGGCTGTGCTCTAGCAGAGCCTGGTGGCCCCTAGCACCTACCTTTTGCTCTTGGGTGACAAGAAAGTACTCCTTCTCTAACACAATGATATGCTGGGCACCCTAGATTTTACAGGTTCAGAGAACTGGGCTCCCTTCAATGTTCCTTAGAGCACGGCCTTGAATATAATAATGTATTATTTGTTTCTCCATGCTGAATCCTCATAATTACCCTGAATACATGTATTTATTCAGAGTTAAACTTTGCAGTCATGTAAATGTAATCTTATTTTAACTATTCTCAGTGCATATCGTTCGAGTGGAAAGGTGATATACCATCTCAAGTTTTTAATGTGATTCAGGTATTTTATTAACCCTTTATACTTTAAGCACCAATATCCACATAAACATTCTCCAGACTGTGTTCCATACATTTCCTTGAAGAATCAGTTGAGAGAATTTGTTAACCGATCAAAGCACTTTCTCTTGGTGGTCAATTAAATAATTCTTATGACCTTTTCTATTGTTCAAGTATTTGTTATTATTCTGGAGAAAATTGATGTTGATCACCCTTAGCTTGGGACTTAAAGAGTTAAAAATTTTAGATTAAATTATTAATCCTCATAATTTTCCTGAGTTTTACGAATAGTCTTTCACGCACTAGCCTTTATTTTAGCCTTAAGACAAGTTTCGTTTATTCAAACCTCTTCAGTTTGGCTAAAACTGTTACAATACGTTAAATTATTTAATTCGCAAAATCATATCAGCAATTTGTTCTGATGAGGAAAATAACTGAATTATGTTTCATTTACAGTTGTGATTTTTTTTCCAAATGTATCATCAGAAATAAGAAATGTGGCCTTATTCTCAAAGTAGTTAACTGGTTTAAAAGATTTTTGCAGCCATAAGCATGTCTTATACATTCTTTTGATGCTGATCTACTTCAAGAATAAGACTTTAGGTCAGATACCTAAATAATTGTTTTTTTTTTTGCTTGAAATAAATTAACTGGGTAGAGAGGCTTGATGCTGGTATGTAATGAGAAAAGCCAATGGAATACTATGGATTTCTGGTGACAGGGAAATGACTCATAAACTAACCCTCCTGTCCCCCAATTTGTTTGTAAACAAAGCCTGTAAAAGGCATAAAACCCAAAAACCCACCAAAATCGCCTCCTGAATTTCAAGAATAGTACAAACCAGTTAGGATAATATAATTTATTTTAAAAAAACGACATAAATTTTAAAACAGCAAATGTGCATTTACATGTACTACATACATGTATCTGTTGTGGTTCAATTTTTTCCTTGGTTTAAATTTTATTTCCCTTTGTTTTTTGGGTATGGTAATGTATCGTAATGAGTTTAAAAGAAAGGGAAATAAAATTTAAACCAAGGATAAAATTGAACTACAACAAGTCCGCTATAATTTTTTAACCATAAGTCTTCTCATTTATAATGTCCACTAAAATACTTTTACAATTTAGGTTAGTGGAGTAGATCAGTTGAATCAGGTGCCCGGAGGGTACAAGAGTGGTGATGTGACACAGTCTGGCTCTTTTAAGGTGTGCTTTGGAAGGAAGGGGCAATTCACTTTTGCAAGGTTTGTATTTTTTATGGAAATGTTGTGTACAATATTGTAGGTGCATACAAACAGATTTGTGGCTGCCTTGCAGAGCTGTCATTAAGGGCTGTAACCTGTAGCACCTGTTATGGCTAAGCACACTTGATGTTACGGATGATCAAAGTAGAAATTAGCTAAAGGTGGCACGATAAATTTTTGTTAGATGTTATGCCTGCTTAAAAACTTAATTACAGGCTAGCCCTGTTTAGGCATCTTAAGTGTTTGAGGGAAAATGTAACTGTGAGTGATCATGAAGTATCACGCAATGGGTTGTTACAATAATAAGCAAGGTGCAAAGGATGCTTGGAAGGGTGGTCGAGATCCCTTGCATGAAACCAAAATCGCTCCAGTCGCCCTCGCATCTGATGAGGCAGGATTTGTTGCATTACCAATAGAATGAGGTTACTGCAGGTTCCTCAAAAGGTTGAAAAGTTCAGTGAAACTACTTATGGACATAGCTGCCTGCAAAACAAGTATATTTTTCTTGTCAAGTGATGATAATAATCCTTTGACTTTTCTGCTGCCATCATGGATGCAAAAACTGACAGAGGGCTGGGGCGAGCCAAAGAATGATGGCGTCCTGACACGATCCATTTAAAACAATAAGCCAGCCCTGCTCTGATACTCCTCCTCCCTTGTCCAATTTTTATTTCCTCTAAGATGGTGGCCTAATATAATCAATTTGAAATGAGAATTCATAAAAACGAAAAAAGCCTAGTTTGTGGACTAGTGAGGACAGCATTTCCAACGCAACTGAGGAAGCTGATTAACCCACCTCAAGAAAAATTGCTTTAAACAAAGTATGGATTCTAATACCATACTATGCTGTGATTTTGCACAAACATTAACCATTCTTTTTACCGTGTTGTGTGTCTTTGTCATTATAATTTGCAGTGAATCTTTGCCAGACAGATTGAAGACTTTGAAAGTTGAGGTTTTGGAAAAACACAGAGGTGAAATCAAAGTATGTTGTGATAGCGCCCTTCATTAAAATAAAAATTATTACATTGGATTACAAGTTGTGGGGTATCAACCAACAATAAACCGTGTCCATTTCCCCAACCAATATTACATGTACAGTCGACTCTCTCTTAACGGACACCTCTATAAGACGGACACCTCTGTAAAACAGACACCAAGAGTTGGCCCCTGTCTTTGCTTATTCCCTTTATTTGACTCTTTATAGGACGGACATCTCTCTAAGACGGACACTTAGTGCTGGTCTCAAAGGTGTCCGTCTTTGAGAGAATTGACTGTATCTTTATCTACAGATAACTGGCCAAGGATTTGAGCCACACTTTGTGAACATACAGGAAGGTGAAACTGTGCAGTGGACGTACAAAAATGGAGATTCTGAAGTTCCTTGTTATCTGCAGGAGATAGGGTAGGTTTGTGTCATTATAGATTCAGACATCTAATTTTCTGAATTTCAATAACCTAAACTTTTTGCATATAATTTTAAATCTTTTGGTTTCTGTTACCAGATATTGTTTTAAACATGGTGGATTTCTTGCAAGAAAGTCAAGGTACTGTTGATTTTTCTTGCTCCTTTCAATACCTACCAGTATTTAAAATAACAATAATCTAATAGTGGTGCCTTCGCACCCACTTATCCCTGGCTTAAAACCCTGGCCGTAAGAATCCCTGCATCTAGGAACCCCTGGACAAGAGAAAACAGTACTGTGAGAAGCGGGAGGGGAGGGGAGGGGGAAAAAGAAAACACTCGCCCGCGTTTGCTTCTCTTCTCTCCTCCTCGCCTGTACTTCCTTTTTTCTTTTTTGCTCCTGTCCCAACTTTCTCATGAACTTCCGGGAAACACTTGTTATGCGGGCTAAGTAATTAACCTGGTGAAACAGTGGTGGGAAAACAGCAATGGTGGAAAGGTGGAAGAGAGATGATGGATCAGTAATGCTGGAACAGTAATGGAAAACAGTGATGGTGGAGCAGTCATGGTGGAACAGTAGTGGTGGAACAGGCATGCTGGAACAGTGATGGTGGAACAGTAATGGTGGAACAGTAATGATGGAACAGTACTAATGGAACAGGTTCTACAGTAACGGTTCTACATTACTAGTGGAACAGTGATGATGCAACAGTGATAGTGACACATTAATGGTGGCACATTCAGAGTGGAACAGCACTTAAATTTAAAGTAATGGTGAAAAAGTAATGTTCCACACTGGAACAGAGATGGTGGAACAGTAATGGTGGAACAGTAGAGTAATGGTAAAACAGTAATGGTGAACGGTAATGGTGGAACAGTGATAGTGGAACAGTAATAGTGGAACAGGTATGGTGGTACAGTACTGGTGAAACAGTGATGGTGGAACAGTGGAACAGAGATGGGGGAACACTAATGGTCAAAAAGTAATGATGCGACAGTAATAGTGGAACAATGATAGTGGAACAGTAAAACAGAGATGGTGGAACCGTAATAGTGGAGCAGAGATGGTGGAACAGTTATGGTACAACAGTAGTGGTGGAACAAAGATGGTCGAACAGTGATGGTGGAAAAGTAATGGTGAAACAGTAATAGTAGACCAGTAGTAGTAGAACAATAATGATGGAACAGTAGTAGAGAAACAGTCAGGGTAAGACACTGGAACTGAGATAATGGCACAGTAGTGGCAGAAAAAAAAATGGTGGGACAGTGATGGTGGAACAGTAATGGTGGAAAAGTAGTGGTGGAAAAGTTCTGGTGGAAGACTAATGGTGGAATGGAACTGGCGGAACAAACATGGTGAAACAATAGTGGTGGAACAGTTACGGTGAAACAGTAATGGTGGAACGGTAATTCTGGAACAGTGGTGGAGGAACAGTTCCGGTTGAACAGTAGTGGTAGAACAGTAATGGTGAAACAGTATACTGGTGGAACTGTAGTGGTGGAACAGTGAAGGTGGAACAAAGATGGTGGAAACGTATTGGTGGAACAGTAATGGTGTAACAGTAGTGGTGGAACAATAATAGTGGAACAGTACTCGTCGAAAAGTTATGGTGAAACAGTTATGGTGGAACAGTAGTGGTGGAAAAGTAATGGTGGAACAGTAATGGTGGAACAAAGATAGTGGAGCAATAGTGGTGAAACAGTAATCGTGGAACTGTAGTAGTGGAACAGTAATGGTGGAACAGTAGTAGTGGAACAGTTATAGTGGTACAGTAAGGTGGAACGGTAATGGTGAAAAAGTAGTGGTGAACCAGTGGAACTGTAGTGGTCTAACAGTAGTCGTGGAACAGTAATGGTGGAACAGTTCTGGTGGAACAGTAATGGTGGAACAGTATTGGTGGAACAGTTTATGGTGGAACAGTAGTGGTCTAACAGTAGTCGTGGAACAGTAATGGTGGAACAGTTCTGGTGGAACAGTAATGGTGGAACAGTTACGGTGGAACTGTAGTGGTCTAACAGTAGTCGTGGAACAGTAATGGTGGAACAGTAATGGTAGAACAGTTCTGTTGGAACACTAGTGGTGAAACAGTAATGGTGGAATAGTAGTAGTAGAACAGTAATGGTGGAACAGTAGTGGTGGAACAGTAATGGTGGAACATTTACGGTGGAACAGTAATGGTGGAACAGTAGTGGTGAAACAGTAGTTGCGGAACAGTAATGGTGGAACAGTAGTGGTGGAACAGTTATGGTGGAACAGTAATGCTGGAACAGTAATGGTGGAACAGTTACAGTGCGACAGTACTGCTGGAACAGTTATGGTGGAACACAAATGTAGAACAGTAATGGTTAAACAGTATTGGTGGAACAGTTATGGTGGAACAGAAGTGGTGGAACAGTAGTTGTGGAACAGTAATGGTGGAACAGTAGTGGTGGAACAGTTATGGTGGAACAGTAATGGTGGAACAGTATTGGTGGAACAGTTATGGTGGAACAGTTATGGTGGAACAGTAGTGGTGGAACAGTAGTGGTGGAACAGTAATGGTGGAACAGTAGTGGTGGAACAGTATTGATAGAACAGTTCTGTTGGAACAGTAGTGGTGAAACAGATATGGTGAAATAGTAGTAGTAGAACAGTAATGGTGGAACAGTAGTGGTGGAACAGTAATGGTGGAACAGTAGTGGTGGAACATTTACGGTGGAACAGTAATGGTGGAACAGTAGTGGTGAAACAGTAGTTGTGGAACAGTAATGGTGGAACAGTAGTGGTGCAACAGTTATCGTGGAACAGTAATGGTGGAACAGTTACAGTGCAACAGTACTGAGGGAACAGTTATGGTGGAACACAAATGTAGAACAGTAATGGTTAAACAGTAGTGGTGGAGCAGTTATGGTGGAACAGTAGTGGTGGAACAGTAGTTGTGGAACAGTAGTGGTGGAACAGTTATGGTGGAACAGCAATGGTGGAACAGTGTTGGTTGAACAGTTATGGTGGAACAGTAGTGGTGGAACAGTTACGGTGGAACAGTTCTGGTGGAACAGTAGTGGTGGAACGGTAATGGTGGAACAGTAGTGGTGGAACAGTAATGGTAGAACAGTGGTGGTGGAACAGTAATGGTAGAACAGTAGTGGTGGAACAGTAATGGTGGAACAGTAGTGGTGGAACAGTTATGGTGGAACAGTAATAGTGGATTAAAGGTGGAACAGTAGTGGTGGAAAAAAGTTATGGTGGAACAGTTATGGTGGATCAGAAGTGGTTGAACAGTAATGGTGGAACAGTTATAGTGGAACAGAAATGGTGAAACAGTAGTTGTGAAAAGTACTGGTGGAACAGTAGTGGTGGAACAGTAATGGCGCAACAGAAGTGGTGGAACAGTAATGGTGGAACAAAAATGGTTGAACAGTAGAGGTGAAAACTAATGGTGGAGCAGTAGTGGTGGAAGAGTAATGGTTAAACAGCAGTGGTGGAACAGTTATGGTGGAACAGTAATGGTGGAACAGTAGTGGTGGAACAGTTATGGTGGAACAGTAATGGTGGAACAGTATTGGTGGAACAGTAGTGGTGGAACAGTTCTGGTGGAACAGTAGTGGTGGAACAGTAATGGTGGAACAGTATTGGTAGAACAGTTCTGTTGGAACAGTAGTGGTGAAACAGTAATGGTGAAATAGTAGTAGTAGAACAGTAATGGAACAGTAATGGTGGAACAGTAGTGGTGGAACAGTAATGGTGGAATAGTAGTAGTAGAACAGTAATGGTGGAACAGTAATGGTGGAACAGTAGTGGTGGAACAGTAATGGTGGAACAGTAGTGGTGGAACATTTACGGTGGAACAGTAATGGTGGAACAGTAGTGGTGAAACAGTAGTTGTGGAACAGTAATGGTGGAACAGTAGTGGTGGAACAGTAATGGTGGAACAGTAATGGTGGAACAGTTACAGTGCAACAGTACTGAGGGAACAGTTATGGTGGAACACAAATGTAGAACAGTAATGGTTAAACAGTAGTGGTGGAGCAGTTATGGTGGAACAGTAGTGGTGGAACAGTAGTTGTGGAACAGTAATGGTGGAACAGTAGTGGTGGAACAGTTATGGTGGAACAGTAATGGTGGAACAGTAGTGGTGGAACAGTAGTGGTGGAACAGTAATGGTGGAACAGTAGTGGTGGAACAGTTATGGTGGAACAGAAATGGTGGAACAGTACTGGTGGAACAGTAGTGGTGGAACAGTTAAGGTGGAACAGTAATGGTGAAACAGTAATGGTGGAACAGTAGTGGTGGAACAGTACTTGTGGAACAGTTATGGTGGAACAGTAATGGTGGAACAGTAGTGGTGGAACAGTTATGGTGGAACAGTAATGGTGGATTAAAGGTGGAACAGTAGTGGTGGAAAAAAGTTATGGTGGAACAGTTATGGTGGATCAGAAGTGGTTGAACAGTAATGGTGGAACAGTTATGGTGGAACAGAAATGGTGAAACAGTAGTTGTGAAAAGTACTGGTGGAACAGTAGTGGTGGAACAGTAATGGGGCAACAGAAGTGGTGGAACAGTAATGGTGGAACAAAAATGGTTGAACAGTAGAGGTGAAAACTAATGGTGGAGCAGTAGTGGTGGAAGAGTAATGGTTAAACAGCAGTGGTGGAACAGTTATGGTGGAACAGTAATGGTAGAAAAGTAATGGTGGAACAGTTATGGTGGAACAGTAGTGATGGAAGAGTAGTGGTGGAACAGTTATGGTGGAACAGAAATGATGGAACAGTTCTGGTGGAACAGTAGTTGTGGAATAGTACTCGTTGAACAGTTATGGTGGAAGGGTAATGGTGGAACAGTACTTGTGGCACAGGAGTGGTGGAACAGTTAGGGTGGAACAGAATTGGTGGAACAAAGATGGTAAAACAGTAGTGGTGGAAAAGTAATGGTGATACAGAAGTGGTGGAACATTAATGGTGCAACAGTAGTGGTGGAACAGTAATGGTGCAACAGTAGTGGTGGAATAGTAGTGGTTGAACAGTAATGGTGGAACAGTAGTTGTGGAACAGTAATGGTGGAACAGTAGTGGTGGAACAGTTACAGTAAAACTGTAGTGGTTTAACAGTAGTCGCGGAACAGTAATGGTGGAACAGTTCTGGTGGAACACTAATGGTGGAAGAGTTCTGTTGGAACAGTAGTGGTGGAACAGTAGTGGTGGAACAGTTACGGTGGAACAGTAGTGGTGGAACAGTTATGGTGGAACAGTTATGGTGGAGCAGTTATGGTGCAACAGTACTGGTGGAACAGTTATGGTGGAACAGAAATGTGGAACAGTACTGGTTCAACAGTAGTGGTGGAACAGTTATGGTGGAACAGTATTGGTGGAACAGTTATGGCGGAACATTATTGGTGGAACAGTAGTTGTGGAACAGTAGTGGTGGAACAGTTATGGTGGAACAGTAATGGTGGAACAGTAATGGTGGAACAGTAGTGGTGGAACAGTAATGGAGGAACGGTAGTGGTGGAACAGTTACGGTGGAACAGTTATTGTGGAACAGTAATGGTGGAACAGTAGTTGTGGAACAGTAATGGTGGAAACGTAGTGGTGGAACAGTAATGGTGGAACAGTTATGGTGCAACAGTAGTGGTGGAACAGTAGTCGTGGAACAGTTATGGTGGAACAGAAATGGAAAACAGTAGTGGTTGAACAGTAGTGGTGGAACAGTAATGGTGAAACAGTAGTGGTGGAACAGTTACGGTGGAACAGTAGTGGTGGAACAGTTATGGTGGAACAGTTATGGTGGAGCAGTTATGGTGCAACAGTACTGGTGGAACAGTTATGGTGGAACAGAAATGTGGAACAGTACTGGTTCAACAGTAGTGGTGGAACAGTTATGGTGGAACAGTATTGGTGGAACAGTTATGGCGGAACAGTATTGGTGGAACAGTAGTTGTGGAACAGTAGTGGTGGAACAGTTATGGTGGAACAGTAATGGTGGAACAGTAATGGTGGAACAGTAGTGGTGGAACAGTAATGGAGGAACGGTAGTGGTGGAACAGTTACGGTGGAACAGTTATTGTGGAACAGTAATGGTGGAACAGTGGTTGTGGAACAGTAATGGTGGAAACGTAGTGGTGGAACAGTAATGGTGGAACAGTTATGGTGCAACAGTAGTGGTGGAACAGTAGTCGTGGAACAGTTATGGTGGAACAGAAATGGAAAACAGTAGTGGTTAAACAGTAGTGGTGGAACAGTAATGGTGAAACAGTAGTGGTGGAACAGTTACGGTGCAATAGTAATGGTGGAACAGTAGTTGTGAAACAGTAATTTTGGAAACGTAGTGGTGGAACAGTTATGGTGGAACAGTTATGGTGCAACAGTAGTGGTGGAACTAGCCTGTGCCAGGCTCTCAGATAGTAAAGTGCGGACGTACTAAAACGAGCAAAGCGAAAATAAGACGCGCGCGACTTGGGAAAGGGGGCGGTGGTGGGGAGAAAAATGGGAGAGAGAGCCTGTTAGCATTTCTTTAGCTCTCTTCCGCCCATTTTGGTCACGTCTGGATTCGGCTGTCAAAACTGTTAACACTTCAGTTAGCTACAATCATTCTCAAGTTTCTCGCGCGATCATTTCGCTTGACACGAACTCCTTGTGCGAATGTGTGGAAATTTATGTCTTCGAATTCGTTATCCTCTGAGAGTATCCGGTTTTTTCGGCATTAGTATCTAGTTTCACCCGCCGAAGCGACGACCAGAAATACATCTGCTGTTCGCAGGCTACGAATTCGTCAACGGCGTCTGCGAAGCTCGCACTCGATCATTCAAAGTGCTGCAGGTTTTATAATAATAAAAGGGGGCGGTAAATTTTTTCCTCTGTTGGGTAGGTTATGTTCTGGAAGGTTCTGCATTTTCACTGAGCTAATGTGATTTTAGCCGCTTGTTTCACACTGAGAGGTCATGGAACACATATCGATTTACTGTGGCTTTTGTTCCTGGTCGTCAGGATTTGCCCTCTGATGAGAGAGCATTTTCTTTGACGTCTTTTGAACGTAAAGCTTTCTATTGCAGCTGAATAAGGGTTTTAATTTTCTCCACAGTGCCTTCTAGATCTGACTAAGTGATTTTCTTTAGTCCGTGAATGTAATGTTTTTCTGCAATGTTGTATCACGCTGGGCCAAGTTGGTTAGCTTTCTTTGCAGAATGTTAAATTATCACGGATAGTGATTTACAGATCCAGAATTATAAGAATAAAGTGCAGCTTTAACTTAAGCTACATCAACAAGGAGAATTGCATTGTGACTCAGTAAGCTTAGTGTCTCTCTTATGATAGTGTGAGTCTTTTGACTGGAGCGCGTAGTTTCGCCCTTCGTAATAGCATTTTTCTTTGCCACTTTGTGATCAGCCAGGACTCCGGACTACCGAAAACAATTTCGTACTTTCCTTCTTTCGCTTTCTTCTCGTCCTCCTCTCCCTCTTCAGCGATGCCAATAGCTGCTGCCGAACGTCCAAGTTTTTTAAATTCAGTGTTTCACTTGGTCTCGCATTATAGATATCAGCGGCGAAACGACTATTATCGTAGAGTTTTCTAAGGTTGAAGCAGCTTTAGCCAAGCGTGGGAATAGCTGAAAGGTTAAACTTTCGCCGAAACCGGTGGGCATAAATAGCGAACACATCTTTACTGCGAGCCAAGTCGCAGACACTCGTCTAGCCTGAGATCATGCCAAAAAAATAACAACGCCTGATCTCAGGTTAACACTCGTCCAAAGCACAAGACAACCCGGATACATCAAGATCACACGCACGATTCGCGTTGGCCATCTTGGTGATGACAAACTGATGACCACGCTACTAGGTGATGATGTTAACTGTCACAATTGACCAATTAGCGGGTATATCAGGAGCTGATATACCGGAACAGGCCGTTAAAAAAATGCGTACAGGCTCCGCCGCCCTTTCTCTCCCCAGCCCTCGAGCGTTTTTCGCTTTTTTTACTGAACGACTTTCCACCACTATCTTGGAGCCTGGAACAGGCTATGGTGGAACAGTAGTCGTGGAACAGAAATGTGGAACAGTAGTGGTTGAACAGTAGTGGTGGAACAGTTATGGTGGAAAAGTAATGGTGGAACAGTAGTTGTGGAACAGTAATGATGGAACAGTAGTGGTGGAACAGTTATGGTGGAACAGTAGTGGTGGAACAGTAATGGTGGAATAGTACTGGTGGAACAGTTACGGTGGAAAAGTTATGGTGGAACAGTAGTGGTGGAACAGTAGTTGTGGAACAGTAATGGTGGAACAGTAGTGGTGGACCAGTTATGGTGGAACAGTTATGGTGGAACAGTACTGGTGGAATAGTTCTGGTGGAACAGTTACGGTGGAACAGTAATGGTGGAACAGTAGTAGTGGAACAGTAATGGTGGAAAAGTACTGGTGGAACAGTAGTTCTGGAACAGTAATGGTGGAACAGTAGTGGTGGAACAGTTATGGTGGAACAGTAATGGTGGAACAGTTATGTTGGAACAGTAGTGGTGGAACAGAAATGTTGGAACAGTTCTGGTGGAACAGTGGTGGTGAAACAGTAATGGTGGAATAGTACTGGTAGAACAGTTATGGTGGAACGGTAATGGTCAGACAGTAGTCGTTGAACAGTATTGGTGGAACAGTTCTGGTGGAACAGTAATGGTGGAACAGTTCTGTTGAAACGGTAGTGGTGGAATAGTAGTAGTGGAACAGTAATGGTGGAACAGTAGTGGTGGAACAGTTACGGTGGAACAGTAATGGTGGAACGTTAATGGTGAAAAAGTTGTGGTAGAACAGTAGTGGTTGAACAGTAATGGTGGAACAATTATGGTTAAGCAGTAGCTGTGTGGAACAGTTATGGTGGTACAGTAACAGTGGAACAGTAACGGTGGAACAGTAGTGGTGGAACTGCAATGGTGGAAGACTAATGGTGAAACAGTACTGGCAGAACAAAGATGGTGGAACAATAGTGATGGAACAGTTATGGTGGAACTGTAGTGGGGGAACAGTAGTGGCGTTTTTCGCTTTTTTTTACTGAACGACTTTCCACCACTATCTTGGAGCCTGGAACAGGCTATGGTGGAACAGTAGTCGTGGAACAGTTATGGTGGAACAGAAATGTGGAACAGTAGTGGTTGAACAGTAGTGGTGGAACAGTTATGGTGGAAAAGTAATGGTGGAAAAGTAATGGTGGAACAGTAGTTGTGGAACAGTAATGATGGAACAGTAGTGGTGGAACAGTTATGGTGGAACAGTAGTGGTGGAACAGTAATGGTGGAATAGTAATGGTGGAATAGTACTGGTGGAACAGTTACGGTGGAAAAGTTATGGTGGAACAGTAGTGGTGGAACAGTAGTTGTGGAACAGTAGTGGTGGACCAGTTATGGTGGAACAGTTATGGTGGAAAAGTACTGGTGGAATAGTACTGGTGGAACAGATACGGTGGAACAGTAATGGTGGAACAGTAGTAGTGGAACAGTAATGGTGGAAACGTACTGGTGGAACAGTAGTTCTGGAACAGTAATGGTGGAACAGTAGTGGTGGAACAGTTATGGTTGAACAGTAATGGTGGACCAGTTATGATGGAACAGTAGTGGTGGAACAGAAATGTTGGAACAGTTCTGGTGGAACAGTAGTGGTCAAACAGTAATGGTGGAATAGTACTGGTGGAACAGTTATGGTGGAATGGTAATGGTCAGACAGTAGTCGTTGAACAGTATTGGTGGAACAGTTCTGGTGGAACAGTAATGGTGGAACAGTTCTGTTGGAACGGTAGTGGTGGAATAGTAGTAGTGGAACAGTAATGGTGGAACAGTAGTGGTGGAACAGTTACGGTGGAACAGTAATGGTGGAACGTTAATGGTGAAAAAGTTGTGGTAGAACAGTAGTGGTTGAACAGTAATGGTGGAACAATTATGGTTAAGCAGTAGCTGTGTGGAACAGTTATGGTGGTACAGTAACAGTGGAACAGTAACGGTGGAACAGTAGTGGTGGAACTGCAATGGTGGAAGACTAATGGTGAAACAGTACTGGCAGAACAAAGATGGTGGAACAATAGTGATGGAACAGTTATGGTGGAACTGTAGTGGGGGAACAGTAGTGGTGGAATAGTAATGGTGGAACAGTACGGGCGGAACAGTTATGATGGAACAGTAGTGGTGAAGCAGTTCTGGTGGAACAGTAGTGGTGGAACAGTTCTAATGGAACAGTATTGGTGGAACAGTAATGGGGGAAGAGCAGTCGTGGAACAGTAGTGGTGGAACGGTAGTGGTGAAACAGTAATGGTGGTACATTAGTGGTGGAACAGTAATGTTAGAACAGTAATGGTGAAACAGTAATGGTTGAATGGTACTGGTTAAACGGTATTGTTGGAACAGTAATGGTTGAACAGTACTGGTGGAACAGTTCTGGTGAAACAGGAATGGTTTAACAGTTATGGTGGAATAGTAGTGGTCGAACAACAATGTTGGAACAGTAATGGTGGACATGTAGTGGTGGAACAGTAGTTGTGGAACAGTTCTGGTGGAACAGTTCTGTTGGAACAGTAGTGGTGGAACAGTAATGGTGGAACAGTAGTGATTGATCAGTTATGGTGGAACAGTAATGGTGGAACGGTAATGGTGGAACAGTAATGGTGGAACAGTAGTGGTGGAACAGTAATGGTGGAACAATTATGGTTGAACAGTAGTTGTGGAACAGTTATGGTGGAACAGTAACGGTGAAGCAGTAGTGGTGGGACAGCAGTGGTGGAAGAGTAATGGTGGAACAGTACTGGCAGAACAAAGATGGTGGATCAATAGTGGTGGAACAGTAGTCGTGGAACAGTTGTGGTGGAACAGTAGTGGTGGAACAGTTATGGTGGAAAAGTTATGGTGGAAGAGTAGTGGTGGAACAGTAGTGGTAGAACAGTAGTTGTGGAACAGTAATGGTGGTAACGTACTGGTGGAACAGTAATGGTGGAATAGTAATGGTGAAACATTAGTGGTGGAACAGTTCTGGTGGAACAGTATTGGTGGAACAGTAATGGTGGAATATTATTGGTGTAACAGTAGTGGTGGAACAGTACTGGTGGAACAGTAATGGTGGAACAGTAGTGGTGGAACAGTAGTGGTGGAACAGTTCTGGTGGAACAGTAATGGTGGAACAGTAATGGTGGAATATTATTGGTGGAACAGTAGTGGTGGAACAGTACTGGTGGAACAGTAATGGTGGAACAGTAGTGGTGGAACAGTAGTGGTGGAACAGTTCTGGTGGAACAGTAGTGGTGGAACAGTTATGGTGGAAGAGTTATGGTGGAACAGTGATGGTGGAACAGTAGTGGTGGAACAGTAATGGTTGAACAGTACGGGCGGAATAGTTATGGTTAAACAGTAATCATGGAACAGTAGTGGTGGAACAGTTCTGGTGGAACAGTATTGGTGGAACAGTATTGGTGGAACAGTAATAGTGGAAGCGTAGTGGTGGAACGGTCGTGGTTGAACGGTAATGGTGGAACGGTGGTGGTGAAACGGTAATGGGGGAACAGTTGTGGTGAAACAGTAATGGTGGAACATTAGTGGTGGAACAGTAATGGTGGAGCAGTAGTGGTGGAACAGTTTTTGTGGAATAGTATTGGTGGAACAGTGATGGTGGAACAGTAATGGTGGAACAGTAATAGTGGAACGGTCGTGTTTGAACAGTAATGGTGGAACGGTAGTGGTGAAACGGTAATGGTGGAACAGTTCTGGTGGAACAGTAATGGTGGTACAGTTATGGTGGAACAGTAGTGGTCGAACAGCAATGGTGGAATATTATTGGTGGAACAGTAGTGGTGGAACAAAGATGGTGGAATATTAGTGGTTGAACGGTAATGGTGGAACAGTAATGTTAGAACAGTAGTGGTGGAACAGTAATGGTGGAACATTAGTGATGAAACAGTAATGGTGGAACGGTAGTGGTGGAACAGTAATGGTGGTACAGTAATGATTGAACAGTAGTGGTGGAACAGTTCTGGTGGAACAATAATGGTGGAACAGTAGTGTTCGAACAGCGATGGTGGAACAGTAATGGTGGAATATTATTGGTGGAACAGTAGTGGTGGAGCAGTTATGGTGGAGCAGTAGTGGTGGAAGAAAGATGGTGGAATTGTAATGGTTGAACAGTAATGGTGGAACAGTAATGTTGGAACAGTAGTGGTGGAATATTAATGGGGGAACAGTAATGGTGGAACAGTGGACCAGTAGTGGTAGAACAGTGACGGTGCAACACTAATGGTTGAACAATGGAACAGAGATGGGGGAATAGTGATGGCAGAACAGTAATGGTAGAATAGTAACTGTGCCACAGTGAAACAGTCGATCAGTGATGGTTGAATAGGGGAATAGTGTTTTTCGGTCTTGTATTTATCCCAGGACTCACATATAGTTGTAAGACCTTCTGGAGGTAAGAACTTCTAGTTGTAAGATCTCTTTGACGTATGTTTTCCTGAATGTAAGTATCCCTATTCGTAAGAAGCTCTGAACGTAAGAACCGTTGAACATAAAAACGCTTGAACGTAAGAAACCCCGAACCTAATCACCGTCTTATTTGCGAATTCCTGGATGTAAATTGTTTCTTTTTTTCTTAAAGGTTTGAAGTTAAATCAGCATATAGAAAGATTTTCCAAGATACTGGTTTGTACCTGTTTTATGTGGACATGAGTGATGCTGAGTTGCAGGACTTGGAAAAGGTTTCCATGATTTGTGTAGTGAAAGTTACACAGAAGAAAAGGTAAATTGTATATTTTGAAAAAAAAAAGGAAAAGAAGGAAAAAAACTTGTGTGTACATTTAATTCCTTCTCATCAACATTAATCAGTCTGGACTGAAATGATGGGAGATCACAGACTGATCGTGAACACACTTCTCTGTTCACCCCTCCCCCTCCCCCCTCTTCAGTCACTAATCATCAGCATGATCATTATCATCACTATCACTATTGTTGCAAAAGTGTCAATAACAAAATTCTTGAATTTGATTGATTCTAAACAGCCATATGTGATTTTTATGAGTCAATGTTGCTATTGTAACTCCTAAACTGTCCGATTACCAGGAGTTTGTAATCAGACTGGTCAAATCGGACAGTTAAAAAACCAATGAAAATCAAGTAGCAAATGCCACCAGCCAATGAAATTTAACTGCATAGCACATGATAACCAGTCCTTGTCAATGAAAAAATAGGAACCAGGTAGGCTGTCCAGCTTCAACTTGTAAAGAAAAATGAATGAAACTAACTGGTCCAGTGACTTTTCTGCAGATATTTTTCCTTTAGGCACTGACAGCTTTTTAAATTTAAAAAAATGTAATTGTTTTTTTGAAAAGTTCATCATGTGGTCGGGCTTCTACATTCGGATAATTTCATCCAAAGTGGTAACCAATCATGTTTTTGCTTTGGATCTTTCTGTTAAATAATAAATATTCCACGACTGAGATTCTCACCTTTTGTTATTGACACAATTAATCGGTAATAGGACCTCGTGTCGTACAATTTAGGGGTAATCGGGCTCGTTATTTCGTATCGCCAAATTGAAAGGGATTAATCCGGGAATTTTCGTTATTTCGTATCGCCACTAAAGGCTTTGAAATTACTTCATGCATTAATCGATTATCATCATTGAATTTTACAGTCATCATCATTATCCTCGTCTTTCCTATTACCATCATCTTCAATGTCATCTTGATCATCATTTCATCATTTCATCATCATGTCGATCATTTTCTTCATGATCATTAATCTCATTATCATCATTGACATCATAATTACAGTCATCATCATTATCCTCGTCTTTCTCAAATTATCATCTTCAATGACATCATGATCATCATTTCATCATCATCATCATCATCATCCTCATCCTCATCCTCATAATTACCATTATTATCGTCGTCATTAGTATCCTCAATCATCATTGGTATCGTTATCGTCATTGGAGTCATATTTCTCGCAGCATGATTCCTGATTCCTGTATGTTAGGACTACACATCACCTGGCCACTCATGTTCAATACACGTTTACTATTTGTATGCTATTCGAATGAAATGGGACTGCGATTTATTTCTCTTTGCAAAGTTACTCTGCGCACAACCCATGCACGCGAGCGGCGAGTAGAAGGACATTAATCTACAGTACACGCAATTTTTGAGAATTGAAATCTCATTTGTTTCAAGTGGTAAATTATAAAAAAAGTAACTTTACTGTCTGTTTGTTTCTTTTCATCAGGGAATTTTTAATAGACATCAGTGAGGGAGTTTTTCAACCAAAGGTTTTATCTGCCAGGGTCCAAGACAGAATTTGGCTTAACTGTTCAACCTCCAAGGTAAAACTGAAGGCAAACTTCAAGTCTTGAGAATAATTCGCAGGTATTATGCCAGCGGTAAATCGAATGCGTCCGAAGAGCCACTCATATGCTAAATAGTGAACGCAGCTTGCGATTTTTTGTTGGCCATCCATAGCCTTTGTAAAGCCGCCTTTTCCCCACAGGCTATGCGGGTCATTAAGCATGCAAGCTTCGCATCATAAACTTGCATGAGGAAGTTAGATGAAATTAAACGTGACGTGATTTGACTGTTAGCCGATTAAGACGTTGTCCGCGAAACAGTTTTGTCTCTTTCGTAAATTACCTGTTATACGCTGAACATGAAGTAATGAAAACTACAACCTTTTTGTAGAATATTGATAGCTGCAAGATTTTGAATGCTTATGTCTACAAAGAAGGTGCCAGTTCAAGTCCGTTGGTAAGTTTCCTTTTAATGTCGTACTCAAATAAATTTTAGTTACCCTCACAAAAAAAGTACGAAATTCTTTCCACTTGAACAAGAAGGAGAAAGAAAGTCAAAAGGAAGAAAATATGGAGGAAGTATTGCCGAGTTTTACGGTTATTTCTTGAAATGAAGGCGAACAGATTTTCAATTAACATTGCAAAAAAAGGCGATAGTTGCTGTTAGTTTATTTGCTTTTCTGTGTCATTTTAGGTTTCGTCAACAATAACCAGTCCATCTGGCTTAAGGTAAATTTTCCGACTTTTTGTCGGGACTATGTGTTCCTGGATAAAATAAAACGTTGTAATTACATGTGAGTATGCTAAGTGAACCACACCGGTCTTCTGACTTTATGCTTGAGTATATGTAAGGCCTTATTTGTGCACAAGCAAGATGTTCCTTGCCTGGTTGTCCTTGTCGGCGTAAATGGATCGCAAGTTGTTCCTATACAGGCGAAAAAAATGCCATAGCCTTCAGCTCCAGTGAAAATTGTCTGACAAAGCGTTCTAAGAGTGTAAAGAGGCTTAAATTTGCTTTTTCCAGCAGTTTGTCTCATCATAGGTACATGCATGCAGTAAAGCACGATGGTTATGAATCCTGACAGACTTTATGTTACACATCTTTTTGCTCGCTTCTGTGGAATTAACTGCCCACTATATTAATAGCATTCTTATCATTTTGATCTAATTGAGCATTAGAAATGCAGCATTAATCTATTCAGTCGTCATTTATAGGGGCGATTGTTCATGATAATCCGTGATCTTCATTTTTGTCGGATTTCGTCGATAATCTCCTCTACTATTGTGTCATTGATTTACCCTCTGACTCTTTCTCTACTCCCTCCCACCACAACAAACAAACAGGCTTTCCAAATATATATATGAACCTCTTCTATAAAATCTGCGGCACTTGTTTTAAAACATGACGTAGTATTAAAGTACTGTCTTTTTACTTCATGCAGCGGAATGGCCGACCTCATCTCTCATCAGTTCACTGAGCCTGGCTTGTATCACTATGTTTTCAATATGGCCGATCTGTCCCAGTTCAAAGGATGCGTGGCAGTGAAACCCCAACCAACGGAACATGTCATGGGCATACACAATGGTCAATTTAAACCTTGTAGGTACCACCTTAATGTACTGTGCCGGAAATAGACATTCGAACCTCTTCAAAAAGCCATCTCTCTACAACAACCACTATTTGTTGTTCTTACTGATTCATTCCAGGCCTCAGTTGTTCAAAAGATGGATAGCGGTAACCACCGGGGCTGGGTCCCTGAAAGGCCGATTAGCGCTAATCGAGGAGTAAAATTTTGCTCGGTTCTTGTATTTTGCCTTCCCATGTATTGCTTACAGTAACATTTTGTGTTATCATTACTGCATCTCGGAGTAAAGGCACAACAGTATTTTGTAAGCTCGAGTTGCACGTTCTTAGATGAGAAAACCTTGCTTAAAACTTGGCTTAATCCCGGGTTAAACTTAACCATCTTTCGAGGAACCGGGCCCAGGTGAATCACTATCCAGGGGATACGTATATCAAGGAAATAAAACACGCTTTGCAGTGGATAATGATCTACCCATCAGTGGTAGATCCAGACCTTCAGAAAAGGGGGAGGGGCCGGTCATTCAGACCTTGAGATATTCAGCCCTTCGGGCTTCAATTTGGTCTAAAAATAAGGGGAGGGGGGCCCACGGGCCCCTCCCCTGGATTCGCCACTGCCCAGTGGATAGCGCTATCCACCTTTTGAACAACTGGGGCCAGCGCTGCAAATATTTTTTTTCTTTTTAGCAAGAACGTCTAACCAGGTGACCGTTTTAGTCGTACCAAACCAAAAACGTTAGAAGGAGAATTTGCTGTTATTTGCAGCTCTGCAGTCGCTCTTGTTTTGACGCCACTGCCACGTCGTGGCTACTCGGTTCTGCTCCTAAGTGAGCCACTAGGGACTTTAAGCAAAGACGTTTTTGAGCGGCGCAAGTCAACCGGAAGTGACGTCTTTTCCCTTTTTTATATGCCGTGATGCCAAATTTCATTTCGCTCGTAAAGACCATTTACCCGAGAGTTTTAACCAAACCACTGCTCGATGATGCAAAAAGTCCACTTCCGGTTGACGTCCGTCGCTCAAAAACCCCGTTGCTTAAGTTCCCTACTGAAGAATGGGGGATGTTAGGTGGGGTTCGACTTTAATACAAAAAGGTGATAAAGTCTTAGTTTTGATTCTTTCTGAAATAAGAGTTTTTCATGTTGTCAAATGAGACTTTTTGTCGTCTTTTTCCAGCTCTTGCTACGGTGAAGAAAGGAGAAAGAGTTTGGTGGGCATTCAATGACGACGAGAATTTCGCATTGTTCTTGAAAGAGGTACACACTCTCTAACTTGCTTATTAATGTAAAAAAAGTTAAATACAGTTGCATAAGTGGCGTGAATAGGTTAGCGTATAGCGGTGAGGTCACTCCACCTTAGTTCGGCCAGTTTGCGTAATTTCGTCATGCGTTCACAGAAAACATGCGGGCACTATGATAGTTACGAGTGATCCTGAAGCTTTATAAATCAAACTTCCATAAAATTTGTCTTGAGATAAAATTGAAAAAAGTCCGTCCCCAACGCCGTTCATTTTACCTTTTCCCAGTACTCTCACTGAAGCTTTTCAATCACTATTGTTTGGCATAGGTGGAACGCTGTGCACCTTTAGCTAGAGGTTTGCCCGCAAGACGGAAATCGTCAACTTCTGGTAAGATTGTTGCTTCTAGTGTGATTCTCTGGCTTGCATCTTTATGCAGTTCAACCTGGCTACTTGCATCCGACGTGGCATGGCTCCTTTTCTCTTCACTACTCTCCATACCCCAAATTACGATTGACCTCTGGGTGCCGTAAGAGAAGCACTCGGAAACCGAAGCATCTCCGATCAGAAGGTTCAAATTCGGACGTTTGTGGGCAAAAGTATCGATGGTCCGAGAAAAACAACCATCAAGACTATAAAAAAATGCACTTTATTTAAGTTTCAATGTATTTAGCACGAAAGTACTAATTGGGGGCACTATTTTTACGTGTCCTACTGGAGACGGGACCGCCATTGAACGTGGCCATTCGAGCCACCTGAAGGTCTACCCGTTTGGAGGGCTAAGGGAGTACCTTCATTTCTCCATTATATTAGACCCTGAGTATTGGTCCGGCCCTGGGAATCGAACCCCCGACCTCCCACTCTGCAGTCAAGCGCTCTACCGACTGAGCTTACCCTGCTGCGGTTAGACTACGCAAAAAACGAACAAACAACAAACTATTCATAAATAGGTGGATATAAGATCGTCCGGACGAGTGTAGTCCTGAATAGGACTGTTGTTGGCAGTGACGGACTTTTCGACAACCTGTGCAGTAGTTACCTTCACAGTCAAAGTGATTTGTTTCACGTCAGTTCATGGTATTCGGCATTCAACTCTGGTTACTGACCTGTGTTACTCTGTGTTCCCCTGTGTTACTCTGTGTTACCCTGTGTTAGCCTGTGGTGTTACCCTGTGTGACCCTGTGGTGTTGCCCTGTGTTACTCTGTGTTACCCTGTGGTGTTACCCTTTGGTGTTACACTGTGGTGTTACCCTATGTGACCCTGTGGTGTTACCCTGTGTTACTCTGTGTTACCCTGTGTTACCCTGTGGTGTTACCCTGTGTGACCCTGTGGTGTTGCCCTGTGTTACTCTGTGTTACCCTGTGGTGTTACCCTTTGGTGTTACACTGTGGTGTTACCCTATGTGACCCTGTGGTGTTACCCTGTGTTACACTGTGGTGTTACCCCGAGTTACCCTGTGGTGTTACCCTGTGTTCCCCTGTGTTCTCCTGTCAATTTAGTCGCGATGGTATTGGTCGTTTGTCAGTTAAGCCGTGATGTTATTGGCTATGACAATAATAAGACAGTGGCAAGTAATGAATAATAAGATGAGAAGCAAACAGTAACAGTGTGAGCTTTTATTTCAGGCTGCGGTTGTAAGAGACTTAAAGATCAGGCTAGCCTGATGAATTCGTTAGGCTTGATAACGCACAAGTTCGAGGACATAGGAGTGTTTACGTATCGCCTGCACGATGACTGTAACTCTCCCTCCTTATCAAGCTATTGTTCTGTTATAGTGGAGAGCAAAGTTAAGGTTTGTACAAGGCAAAGGTTTCTACTTCATCTTCCCAGTGTATGAAATATGACCCAAGTTGCAATCAAAGTCTTAGAGGAAGAGTTACTAGAATTCAAATCTGATTCTCAGAAAACGTCCACTTCAAAGTTGTTTGCATAAAATGAGTTTTACACATTGACAAATATGGTACAGTATGGTATAGTATAGCATACTAGTAAGAACCCAGTGTTTGGGGGTGCGGGCTAGATCGATACAAGATGTATCAGCCTCCTGATAGAAGGTCAAAACTATGTGGTTCCAACGCTCAAGCTTTGAATGTGATCAGATTACGAGTGTTAGAAGGTCCAAACGTGCGTGATCAGATTGCGTTCTATGCATGCCATTCATTCTTAGAGTCCAAACGAATGCTGGCTACGTACTTGCGGCGCATGCGTAAAAGCAACCTGGAGATTAGGACTGCGGGCTCTTCTGGTCGCCCGCAATTGTAGTTTAGCAGTTAATGATTAACGAAGCTCAGTTAGGACATTTATCGGTGCAAATTCCTTCTTTGTCCATTCTAGCATCACACAGTTGATGTTCGTGACCAAGGGTTTGCTCCACGGATCTTGAACGTGCATCCCGGAGACTGGGTCTGGTGGCAGTGGGAAAATACGGAGAGGCTTCATAATATCTTACAGGTATAACATGAATACTCTTAATAAGGCCATTTATGGGAAGAAAAATACGACGCTTCTTACCTAAGACGCAAACTATCACTTATAAACGGCACATTTTGCCTGAAGTAAGGGTTGATTTCCAGTGTCGCGTGATTTTTACCTGCGTAAAATTTACGTTCGCAAATAAAATAGAGGCTTTGCATGAAAGGTCGCTCGTAAGCGTAAAAGTTGAACCTCGCTCAACTTCTCGTTTAAGTTAGCACTTTTTATTTAACCTCTTTTTAATTTACGTGATTAAAATTTACGTGCGTTAACGTGCGTAGCCAAAAACGGGTGTGTGGAAATCAACGTTAAGACGCGATTTTGCTTAGACGCGTCTTATCTTAGAACACCCCTTAACACCTGTTGTTAGATCAAACGCGTCTTAGCTAAGTCGTGAATTATTTCAGTCGAGATATGTCGTTTATACCTGTCAGTTTTCGTCTTATTTAGGAAGCATCTTATTTTTCCTGGTACAAATGGCCGTTGTCTTTTACTGTAGGCGCGTCCTTGATAATAGTTTTTGCCTCGTTCACATATTATTCTCAAACAAAAGAGTAAGCAATTCAGAATATTAAAAGATCGCGTTAAAATAGTGTAAGCTTTTTGGGTACAATGTATTGGAGACCTTTTGAAGAATTCTGTAAACTGGAAATTTTATTGAGAATATATGGCTCATAATCGTCTTTGCCACTTAGAAATTGTGTAGCTAAAATGTTTCTTTAAAAGTTGCGCTAAACTTAACCACCTCATTCTACGTCTGCGTTTAATTCGGAGGAGGGCCTCTGCCAGCAGAATATTAAGTTTGCAAACTGCTGCTGTAAGTTTCATCAAGAAATTTTAATTACGTGAAAAACTATCGATTGTATCAAAAGGTGTTTTTCACCCAATACTCTTCATCTCGTGGATGGTTACGTAACTTTGGCCGTGTCCCTTGTTTCACTTACTTCTCGGTGACTAGATGTTGTTACATCGCTTTTCTTTGACTGGGCATAGATGAAATACTCGTTCTCATGTTTAATATAACATTTCGCGGCTTGGATAACCGATGTAACACTCCTGCTCGTGTTTGATTTATCACTTCTCGGTGAGTGGATGTCAGAGGTATCAGATGAAAAACTCCTTCTCGTCTTTTACATTACTTCTCGGTGTTTGGATATCAGATAAAGCACACCTCCTCGTGTTGAATATATCACCTCGCGGCTGGATATCCGATGGAACACTGCTACTAGTTTTTGATATATCACTTCTCGGTGACTGGATATCAGATGAAGCACTCCCTCCCGTGTTTAATATATCACTTCGCAGCTTGGACTCCTACTCTTGTTTAATATTACTTCGCTGTTTTTGGATACCAGATAAAACACATCTTCTAGTGGTAAATATATCACTTCGCAGTATGGATATCAGATGGAACACTCCTACTGGTTTTTGATATAAGTTATCACTTCTCGCTGACTGGATATCAGAGGAAGTACTGCCTCTCGTGTTTAATATATCACTTCGCGGCTTGGATATCCGCTGGAACACTCCCACTCGTGTTTGATATATTACTTCTCGGTCTTTTCATATCAGATTCAAAAGTCCCTTTCATGTTTGCAGATAAGTTAAAACACTCCCTCTCGTGTTTTGAAGTATTATGTACCTTGTCCTTTTTATTCTCAGGTTACTCACCAGCGGACATTGGTGCCTGATGGATTTAGCAGCGGAGAAGAGTCTTGTTCATCAAGTGCTTTTACCAACATTTTCACAGAGCTTGGTGTCGTCTATTTTGCAAGGTACTGAAAATACAATGTACACACACGTACTGAAATAAACTTTAAAAGATTTAAATCAAGGTGTAGAAGATAATTAGACAATTAACGGGCAGGACGTTGCTGCAGTCTCCTATCTCGTACCTGCAGCAAGCCACCCCGGCCACTACTGGTACTAATGATAATTTAACCCCATGCTACCCCTTGTTACCCTTGTTACCCCATGTTACCCCTTGTTAGCCTTGATACCCCATGTTACCCCTTCTTACCCCATGTTACCCCATCCTATCCCTTGTTCCCCCTGTTACCCCTTGTTACCCCTTGTTACCCCTTGTTTACCCCTTGTTACCCCTTGTTACCCTTTTTCCCCCTTGTTACCCTTGTTACCCCTTGTTACCCCAGTTACCCCATGTTACCCCTTGTTACCCCTTGTTACCCCTTGTTACCCCTTTTTCCCCTTGTTACCCCTTATTACCCCTTGTTACCCCTTGTTACCCTTGTTACCCCTTGTTACCCCTTGTTACCCCTTGTTACCCCTTGTTACCCCTCGTTACCCCTTTTTACCCTTACTACCCCTTCTTACCCTTGCTACCCCTTGTTACCTTTGTTACCCCTTGTTACCCTTGTTACCCCTTGTTACCGTTGTTACTCCTTAATACCCTTGTTACCCCCTGTTTTCCTTATTACCCCTTGTTACCCCTGTTACCTTTGTTACCCTTGTTACCCCTTGTTACCCTTGTTTTTCCTTGTTACCCTTGTTACCCCTTGCTACCCTTGTTACCCCTTGTTACCCCGTCTTATCCCTATTACCCCTTGTTACCCTTGTTTTTCCTTGTTACCCCTCTTACCCCTTGTTACCCTTGTTACCCCGTGTTATCCTTATAACCCCTTGTTACCCTTTTTTTCCTTGTTACCCCTGTTTCCCCTAGTTACCCCTGTTACCCCTTGTTACCCCTCGTTACCCCTTTTTACCCTTATTACCCCTTCTTACCCTTGTTACCCCTTGTTACCCTTGTTACCCTTGTTACCCTTGTTACCCCTTGTTACCCTTGTTACCCCTTGTTACCCCTTGTTACCCTTGTTACCCCTTGTTACCCCTTGTTACCCTTGTTACCCCTTGTTACCCTTGTTACCCCTTGTTACCCCTTGTTACCCTTGTTACCCTTGTTACCCCTTGTTACCCTTGTTACCCCTTGTTACCCCTTGTTACCCTTGTTACCCCTTGTTACCCTTGTTACCCCTTGTTACCCTTGTTACCCCTTGTTACCCTTGTTACCCCTTGTTACCCTTGTTACCCTTGTTACCCCTTGTTACCCTTGTTACCCTTGTTACCCCTTGTTACCCCTTGTTACCCTTGTTACCCCTTGTTACCCCTTGTTACCCCTTGTTACCCTTGTTACCCCTTGTTACCCCTTGTTACCCTTGTTACCCCTTGTTACCCCTTGTTACCCTTGTTACCCCTTGTTACCCCTTTTTACCCTTGTTACCCTTGTTACCCTTGTTACCCCTTGTTACCCCTTGTTACCCTTGTTACCCCTTGTTACCCCTTGTTTGTTACCCCTTGTTACCCTTTTTACCCCTTGTTACCCTTGTTACCCCTTGTTACCCTTTGTTACCCCTTGTTGACCCCTTGTTACCCCTTGTTACCCCTTGTTACCCCTTGTTACCCTTGTTACCCTTGTTACCCCTTGTTACCCCTTGTTACCCTTTTTTCCCCTTGTTACCCTTGTTACCCCTTGTTACCCCTTGTTACCCCTTGTTACCCCTTGTTACCCCTTGTTACCCTTTGTTACCCTTGTTACCCCTTGTTACCCTTGTTACCCCTTGTTACCCCTTGTTACCCCTTGTTACCCTTGTTACCCCTTGTTACCCTTTTGTTACCCCTTGTTACCCTTTTGTTACCCCCTTGTTACCCCTTGTTACCCCTTGTTACCCCTTGTTCCCCCTTGTTACCCCTTGTTACCCCTTGTTACCCTTTTTACCCTTGTTACCCTTGTTACCCCTTGTTTACCCTTTGTTACCCCTTTGTTACCCTTTTGTTACCCCTTGTTACCCCTTGTTACCCCTTGTTACCCTTGTTACCCCTTGTTACCCCTTGTTACCCTTTTGTTACCCCTTGTTACCCTTGTTACCCCTTGTTACCCCCCTTTGTTACCCTTGTTACCCTTTGTTACCCCTTGTTACCCCTTGTTACCCTTTGTTACCCCTTGTTACCCTTGTTTGTTACCCTTTGTTACCCCTTGTTACCCCTTGTTACCCTTGTTACCTTTGTTACCCCAAGGGTAACAATTGTTACCCCTTGTTACCCCTTGTTACCCCTTGTTACCCCTTGTTACACTTGTTACCCCTTGTTACCCCTTGTTACCCTTTGTTACCCTTGTTACCCCTTTTTACCCTTGTTTTGTTACCCTTGTTACCCTTTTTTTACCCCTTGTACCCCCTTGTTACCCTTTTGTTACCCCTTGTTACCCTTGTTACCCTTGTTACCCTTTGTTGTTTACCCCTTGTTACCCCTTGTTACCCCTTGTTACCCCTTGTTACCCTTGTTACCCTTGTTACCCTTGTTACCCCTTGTTACCCCTTGTTACCCTTGTTACCCTTGTTACCCCTTTTTACCCCTTGTTACCCTTGTTTTGTTACCCCTTGTTACCCCTTGTTACCCCTTGTTACCCCTTGTTACCCTTTGTTACCCCTTGTTACCCCTTGTTACCCTTGTTACCCCTTGTTACCCCTTGTTACCCGTTGTTACCCTTGTTACCCCTTGTTACCCTTGTTACACCTTGTTGCCCCTGTTACCCCTTGTTACCCCTTTTACTCCTTGTTACACTTTTTACCCCTTGTTACCCCTCTTACCCCTTGTTACCATTGTTACCGCTTGTTACCCCTTGTTACCCCTGTTACTCCTTGTTACCCCTGTTACTCCTTTTTACCCCTTGTTACCTCTGTTACCCCTTGTTACCGCTGTTGTCCCTTTTAACTCTTGTTCCTCTTGTTACCCTTGTTACCCCTTGGTACCCCTATTGCCACTTCTTAACTCTTGTTACTCTTGTTACCCTTGTTACCCCTTTTACTCCTTGTTTCCCTTGTTACCCCTTGGTACCTCTTGTTACCCTTGTTAGCCTTCGTTATTCCTTTTTACCCCTGTTACCCCTTTTTACTCCTTGTTACCCTTGTTACACCTTTTTACTCTTGTTACTTCTTGTTACCCCTGTTAGCCCTTGTTACCATTGGTAC